TGTCAGAAAAATAGAAGACTGAACATAAATGGACACTATTGAAGTCACTTGAGGTTTATGTCAGATATTCAGCAAAACAGATGTGCAACATTCCTCGACTATAGGACTTCGATTCTATTATATTCGTCATCGTTCATCAAGCGGCTATCTTTGCTCAATCAGGAATATGCAGGCTTCGTTACCCGTGCCAGAGAGAAGACAGCCAAAGTTAAGAGGTCTTATGCACAGCGATATCGGTATTTCTTGCACTTTCATGATTTGGCGCCATTTGGGGAACACTTCTTTCTCATGAAACTTACGGTACAGCGTTAAATTTTGTTTCCGTGCTATCATTCAGGGTGTCATTGTGTTATTTGTTGTTTTAAAGTGGTGTCTACAGGTTTATGGCCACCATAGCGTGCAGTCTGCTACTTCCATCCCACGAAGTGATATAATACCTCATTTGTAAACCTCAGAAGAAAGAAAGGCGAGACACCCAATCGGCGCTCGAATCCCGGGCATTTCGATTTTGAGTTGAAACTCTGCCGTCGTGCTACTGAGGTCAGCAACCATGCAGCAATGCGCTGCCTACTGAGTATATGGAGAACAGAACACATAAGATGAGTTAAACAAAGTGAGAGGGTCCGAACTGAACGCTGAACACCATGTTTTCATTCGTTTGAAGAATAATGAAATTTTAATTAATACTACCCATTTGGAAACTAAATCCCACGGCTAAAAACTAAACTGGACGAGATGGACGATTTCCAGCTCCTCGGAAATGTGTTGGCTAACGATGGCGATACAGGTCCTGAATCGAGCCAGGTCGTTTTGGGTTTGTTAGGCTTACGGCACTGGTAGCTTTTCAACACATCTGCTGTAGGACAGAGGTGAATGCATCATGGAAGATATTGCTGTTTGCCAAACTCAGATCTGTGTGTGGTTTGTTCGTCCCTGTTGCCTGCTGTTTTCATGGATAGCCTGCACAGACGAAGATCATACGTTTAATATGGGACCGTGTTCAGCCGATTTGCGATTGTAGCAATAAGCCGGTCATCTCCTTGGTCACCAGTCAGGCACGTTTAATAAGGAGGTTCGCATTGTAGTTTTTTCCTCTTGTGCTCTGATCACGTGCCCAAACACTGCGACAGTGAACTCTCGACATGCACAAGCAGCAATTCGCAAAAGTTATAAAGGAATTTTAATTATAGAATTTGAAAATCGTTGCAATCGTTAGTTTTTTTTCCGCAGTGCCTCATGTCAAGAAAAATAAAATTACGAATTGGCGATGAGACGCGGAATCGAACATAAATTACATTCAGAATGAAGTTACTAAAATTCGTTATTTAAAGGACGGGGTTGCATGGATTAGGCCGAGTGCATAGATTTTAGTTGCTACAGCAACCGCCTACTACTTCAAACCCATTTTCTGTAGTGACTGCCTTAAAAGCTTCTGTCAGCCAGGCGTACAGAACTCGTTATGTCATATAAATCAGTTCTTTCTAGAAATGGAATTTTAACTACAAATCCGGATGTATTTAATTTATACAAAATTATCTTCAATTCTTTTCATCAGCTCTTTACCGTTTGTATTTAAATTGGAAACTCATGGGCATGCCTTTTGATGGACCATACCAGGAGGCATAAAGTAGATTACATGCTTCCATCACATGAATGGTAAAAGCCTTAATGGTTCAGGGTAAACACATTGCATTAATTGGCATATTAGGGTTCTTATCTTTCCACATGGAAGGCAAAATTTCTCATAGTCATTGGAAAGATTAGAATAGTAGTAGATTTTCAATTTGCGGCAGAGAAATTTCGTTCATGAATAAGTTATCATATGAAATAATCCTTATTCGACAACTGCATGGTAGGCAAACCGCGGTACAGGATCGCATCTTAAGGTAAGGGACGATAGACTTGACTTGCTTGAGCCTCAACAACTACAATATTTGCAAACGTCTGTTAATGATTCAATAGTAACCGGATGCAAAACTAATGTGATTATGAATTTAACGACAACCTGAAAAATTAATGAATAGTCTTGTTTTTTGCATGATGAACGAGGAAACTGCTTCATGCAACCTCTCCTCTGGGAAGGGGATGATATCTGCACACTAACCGAAAATAACGCTTTCAAGTGGTATCTAAGTAGACCAAAAATGTCCCAATACAACGGCCATCTTTGGTGAAGGATCGAACAGGAGGTTTTATCAAATATCTGATATTTGCTTTGCTGGATGATTAGAGAAACAAGGATCCTTGTATAAGGAGGTAGATAGCATCAGGAATGATGAAAATGCTGACACCGCTAACGAGGATGACATCTGCGACGGTGACAGTGATCATGATGATAAAAACAACACTGACTTGAATGATATGAGTTAATTACTGTAATCACTGTACATTGAACGGAAGATATGACGGAAGAACTATAGCGACGTTCAGACAGTGATATGGAGGCATGCTTACTGACTGACTTTTCAAAAGCAGCCGTCGACTTGCTAGCCGTGCCTTTCAACTTACCCAGACTTGGAGACGATCCTCACCAATCCGCCGGATTGCCTGGCTACATGAAAATCGATGACGACTTTCGAACGTCTCATTGTCTTAATTTCGAATACATGCTTCGACAAATCGATGAGTTTCGCACCTATGTTGTTCCTACTTTGCTTTGCGAGATTTTAGCTTAATAACTTCGATAATGAGTACCGAAGTCAATGCCTGCTAAAGGATCAAAGTGCACACTGCCTCACTGCATTCTGTACGCTTAGAGGGGAATCGCTGGAAAGTTTGGCACAGATATATGTTGAAGATCAATCCGTTTTAATGCACCGGCTTTTTATGTCCTTAGGTAAAAATCCTAACGGAAATTGTTTATTTTATCAAACAGTTAGCTCGAACCTATTTACTAAAGTGGATATAAGCAAGTCGTTGTGAGGAATGTAATATCGAGAGCAAAATGTTTGATTGAAATCGCACAACGACATAACGTAATAAACAGACCAGATTTCGAATGGATCTATGATCTACCACCAGCCAATTGTCACTTCTAATTTGGCCACAAAATACAAGTCGCTACGCAGGAAACAGGTATGAGGTGTTTCATTCTATAGCTTGTTCATTTGTTCTTCACTCGTCTCACATGTCGTCGACTTTGCATGAATAGCCGTTTGTGTTGACTGGCTTGATAATACTCAGTTAACGTCTTTGAGCATTCAGATTCGTTAGAGGACTTGTCGTTAGACTTCACATAAGATTCGTTTGTCCTTACTAATCAATCATATGTTGTCTGGATATGCTTCTCCCTTGGCATGAATAATGTTCACTTCTGTTTATCGTAATGAATTTTACTCATCCAGCGTCATGTGATAATAGAAGTCATCATAAGCGAGTAGATTTCATGATCTGATAAACATCGGATAGCGTTTCTTTATTCTATTTGAGCAGGCCTTGGTTCCAAGAAAAATTTAGGCCGACAGATAATATTCATCTGTGAAGCCATTCAAGCGTGAAGTCTAAATCTGGTCTTAAGCGTTTGAGCATATTTTAAGCATTCGCTTTGTTTCGTCGAAGCATCGACCATCGGATGGACCATATGAAGTCGTTAGAGGGAAAAATCAGTAAACGAAGAATGGTGGCCGAGCCCGCATTAATCGTATCGAACCGTCTTTATTCTACAGCGAATTGCCCAATCAAACGAAGAAAAAACTTTTCGATCCCATCGCGCTACCCGCCATCATCTACTGTGTTGAATGTTGGCCTGTTATTAAAATCGAGAAGAACAAACTAATGGCTATGTAGAGAGCGACAGAGCGAAAAATCTACGAGATGTCCCTTCCCGAGATCACCTCTCTAACTCACAAATTCAACAGTGTACTGTATTGGCAGTCACGAGTTCTGTCTTTTATAACGCAAGAGAATAAGAGCCGACAATGTGGCTTGCTAAAGAGAAAATTTAAGCCTCTGAACGTCAATAAAAGAAATAGAAACTGCGCTTCACCACTTCAATAACGTTCCTCGATCGTCAAGAGAACACGCTGAGACGAATGGATGATCAAATTACTTGGCAAGAGGAGGGGGCAGAAACAGAGTATAGAGAATATTGCAATGGCATCGATCTGAGTTCATAACCTACCCACAATGGAGACAAATCGGACCAGGGATTGTGAGTTAAGGATTCTTAACAGCTGTGTAGTTAGGACATCCTTCGTTTTTTCTTTTAAGGCAAAATCTGTCTCAGAGAATGACAATCTTACCTCAGACTAGTGCGAAGGAACTTTTCACCACCGTCTGTATGAATCGTTGAAGAAATTAGAATGCGATATTTTCACCATCGTTTATCGTGTGAACAGCTGATCACAACTCACTTAGAAATTTGTATAAAGGACAACAGAGAAAAGTGAGTAAATGACCATCTTCGCCTTGGCATTGTTTGGACAGCTGAGACATTAGAGATTCGGCGACAGGATTTCCTACACTGTATGTTGCAATTAGCATTTCTTTGAAGAGAGGATGAAATTTTCTACTGAAGTTGTGTCATGGAGAGAATCGCCTTGAAACTTGCCATTCACTGACAGAAACTGTCTCCCTAGCCAGCTACCGTAGCAGGTGGAAGAATACACTCCTCAGAAAGCTGGTGTTAAATGCGATCTCTCACGTTTACACTGATATTGTCGTCTAGACTGATTTATTGTAGAACTGATTGAAAATTTGGTGGTATAAATCGTCGCCTCCATAGCTTCACTGCTATGTTTTATCAATGTTCTCTCAAGAAGGCTTTGCTACACTCAGTCAGAAAACAGTACTAGAATTAGTGAAACAAAGCATAGAAAAATATGAATGACAATAAAATCGGCGGGCTTTGAAAAAATCTGATGGTTAGAAGCTTAGATCGCTTTTCTTTTGCATTCAAATTTCGCAATTACAACAGCCGCTGCTAATGGCACCTTTTCTCTGCGACGAATGAAGCCATGTTGTAGTAGACGCATCTAGGTGCTGTGAAATGGCACATGTAGTGGATTTATTGAATTGTGTCTCTGCGTTTGCTGCTAAGACATGACTAGCGATGTACAGGAAACAGACCCCCCGTCTTTGGTATGCTATCAAAATGTCACTGCCAGACTGGCTAGCAGTCATCCATTCGATCGGCAGACACATTTTGAACTTCAATTGACGGTTCAGGGTGGCTGACATTTAGCTTCAGATGTCGGTAGGTGAATTCGCATCGATCCGCGTGATCCTCGCATCGGAGCAGATGCTGGTTGCGATGGGGAGCCGCGTCA